GGGGGGGGACAGCAGGAGAAGTTTCTTCGCCCCGCGCAGTTGTGGGATCTCACAAGAGGCCAAGTTTCCCCCTCCTCCTCCTGCTTGGCCACGGTTGTAAAGAAGTGCCAAACCCTGAGGTGCAAATCCCGCGCTTCTTGTGGGGGGGGGGACCAGAAACGCTCAGCGTGTGTGTCCGTCTGGCGCCTAGAGCTTCTCTTACGCAGCTGAAGAAGTGAGCCCCGAACTCGAGACTACTTCTGCTGGACGGAGCTGGGGCCGCCGACTCCTGCTTGATTTGGCTGCTGCAGACTTGACCCGGCTGCCCTTTGGGGGCTTTCCCGGTTGTTAAGCGTCCTCCTCTCCATCTATGTAAACCGTTTCCCTGTGCGGAATTAGCATTCCCTGTGTCTGTATGAAAAGGACAGGGGGGGCACGTCTTGCAAAAGCGTAACTAACTGCCACCCAAAGCAAGCGTCACCACACAAGAGAGCAGCAACTGAGCACACTCGGTGGCCTCCCCGTGTTTACGGATGGGGTCGGGCATGCCGCGCGTCTGTCTGTGTGAGGTGGGAAAAGGGGCAGCAACTCTTTTTGACCGGGGTGTGTGTGGGGGGGTACTCTCTATTTTAAAACCATCTCGTGTGATTATAGGAATCAGCGGCTGAAACTGGGCTGCTGGCAACTTGTTTTCTGAACACTTTCGGTCTTCCAGACAATTCCCTCTTCCCTTCGTCTCCGAATTTCCCAGCGGCGAGGGACGTCTCCCTGAGTCCAGGACGCTGTGCTCTCCCCCCCTCCCTCCCGCCCGCACGCACTGCCTTCCCCGCGCTTGTTTTCCCTTCTTTGCCACTGTGGCTGCTGTCGCCGTGTCTGCTGTCCTCCTCCCTCCTGCGGGGCTGACTTCTGGTCGAAGACAGGTTGGCACCAGCGGGGCTCCCCGGGGAGGATCGGCTAGATCTGGGGGCGGCAGCGTCACAACAATCTGGTATGCTTGACTACGTTCGCCCAGGCAGACGGCAAGACAATCCCGAGTGCCTTGGGGACTGGAACAAGTTGCTGCACCGGGGTAGCCTCCTCAGTGGTTTGGGCGTCGCGTTTGGATTCCTCCGTGACCCCATCCATCCACACGGGACACACGCACAAGATTCAAAACATGTATGGGAACCAGCCAATGTTCCCTCTAAGCTGTGGAGTCTTGTGAGCAAAAGTTCTCCCTTGTGAGCTACTAGCATTAAAGTTGTGAGCCAGCGATTTGGCTACTGCATCAATTAGTTTGCTCTGGAGCCATCCTTCCTGAGCTAAGACAAAAATCTGTGAGTTGGAGGCTAAAAAACTGTGAGCGAGCTCACACTAACTTAGCTTAGAGGGAACATTGGAACCAGCTACTCACAAATTCAGACTGCAAGAGAAACTGGTTTGCAGCATCTCCATTCAATTCTGTGTTGACTTTTGCGACAACCAATCTAGGCAGTAAGCAAGAAAGAAATGGTTTGTACACCTAGAAAAGGCCCCAGGGTAAATATGAAAACTGGCCCTTCCTCAAGGTAATTCACACAGGCACCCTACACATAGTTAACTGCTGTTAAATCCAGATTGTGTTGTGCTGGCGGCACAATAGATGGTCAGTTTTTGTTGGCCATTGTCTTGCATGCTATCACTCCATCCACACCAGCAATGTTTGTGGCATGCAAAATCATGGGTTGTGTTTGAAGAGAATTTTTGAGATGACTTAATTTGGCCCTGTCCTGATGCGAGCCACACAAAAGAGAAAAGGATAATAGTGTTGAGAAATGGACTAATTTATGGTTTTATATCTGCTACACAAGCAATACATGGACTGTGCACACATCTGTATACCATAGGCCAAAGGAAGCTGTTTGCATCACCTACTGTGAGAGAATTCACATAGGGAACACTTGCCTGCATTTTATGTTAATGTAGCTTGCACACATTCCGCTCAAAGGCTCATGGGAAGAAGAAGCACATGTTAGCCATTGTGAGCAGAGACAACAACCCAGAAGGAGAAATTCCCCCATTGTTGGAGAGACGAGATGTCACGCAGAATACGGACCTGATCTGCATTTGAATTGCTGTTTCCTGTTGATGGTACCTTGTAGGCCTGGGAAAGCCAAGATTCATCTGTACTTCAAAGAGGACACAGGAAGCCGAGACTTCACACTTGGCCACATGGTGTTCCATGAGATAGAGTGTAGAGTTTCAATTACTGGCCCAACCCATAGAATACCTGGCCCTTCTACATGCACCAATGAGGGAGGTCATGGGATGGACTTGTAAGTAGGTGGGATTGCAGTTTGTCAAGGGGCCACCCACCTGGAGATTCAGCTATAAAACGCGAAGACCATGCGTTAAGGTCTTTGCTTGCCACATTCTACCACCAACGCAAAGACCATGCTTCAGGCTAGCCACCTCTCCTCTCATCAAATCCTTTATACTTTGAATTCCTTTCTTGCTATGCAACAATCCTTTCTGTCTATTATGGATCTCTTTGGACTGCAGCCAAAGAGATACGCATGCACACACTTGACCGGCTGGTTCTGGAACAGTGTGATTTAGGTAAACTTCTAGACACTATTCTCTGTCCTTTTATTTTTCATTGCAACAGACAAGACTTCTAGGAACAGGCAAGTATGAACCGATTTACCTCCCTCCCTCCTAAGTAACTAAACTATTTTTTATTTCTGTAACTAAATGAAACTTGACTGTATGCTGAAGTGAGACTGATCATTTTGTGTGTGTATGAGACTTTGATATTGCTTAGTAAAAAGATTATTTGTTTTGGAAAAACACCCATGTGGTCTCCATTACTGGAACTCTGGGTTCAGACATGACCTTGGTATAGCTGGCCAGGACACACGTTAAATTTAGTTAGCATCTGCTGTAGATAAAGCAGTTGGCGTAACAATAGTGAATAGTGTTTGAGAACATTCAAAGTATTTTGCACATATTAGTGAATTAATGCATACAGTGATGTAATTAGGGTTGCCAGCTCCAGGCTGGGAAATACTTGGAGATTTTGGGGGTGTTGCCTGAGGAGGGTAGGGGTTGGGGAGGGGCTTCAGTGGAGTATAATGCCATAGAGTCCACCTTCCAATGCCACCATTTTCTCCAGGTGAACTGATCTCTGTTGCCTGGAGATCTGAGCTAATCCCAGTAGATTATCTACTGGAGGTTATCATAGAAAAAAGTGGAAACAAAGATAAGGAACAACCGTGAAACAATAACTAAGCAATGTAAGCAACTATATTAACATCAACTTATACCACAGAAAAATCATCCATAGATTCAATAGAAAGACTCTTGGTAAGGTACAACACTCAGTTCAATCATAATTGAATCAATTAATTTTCATTGTACCTTTATTGGACTATGATTGAATTGAGTGTTGCACCTTACCAAGAGTCCTTCTATTGAACCTATGAATGATTTTTCTGTGGTGGTATAAGTTGATGTTAATATAGTTGCTTACATTGCTTAGTTATTGTTTCACGGTTCTTCCTTATCTTTGTTTCTACCACCTGGAAGTTGGCAACCCTAGTTGTAATGGTGGCCGGTTTCATCCTTGCAGATGGGAGAGCAGGACTGAGAGAGAGTGGCTTGTCCTGAGTGACCTCATGGTGAAAGAAGATGTGACCAAAACCACTACACTGCACTGCTTTTCAAAAACATGGCTGTGTACAGAATCATCATATGAACTGTATCTCCCAGAAACTTTTGTCATGGATATGTAGTCATTTTTGGATCAGCACTAATGCAACCTTTACGCAGCCTTTGAAACCATACCAATGCTTTTCTTCGGGCACATTTTTGACCTGTGCAAAAAAAACCCTTTGAAGTTCCGTGAATTTTGGTTCTGGCAAAGTTGTGCTAATAAATTGTACCTGATCCAGCATATACCTGCGGCATATGTGGAACAAAACGCAGTAATGAAACCTTGTCACCTTGAGGGA